CATTAATTTAGGTGAGACTGCTACTTCACAGGAATTATACTATGGTATCTTCATGTCTCTGTTCTCTGATGACAGGAATCCCCAGTTGGACTATGTTTCCCATGATGCAACTGCCTCTGCTCAGAGGAAGAAAGATGGATGGGCATGATGGGAAATGTAGGAGCTAAATTTCTGACCAGCTGTAGAACTAAACATTCAAACTTGTATGGCATCCCTGCAGGTACTAAGTGCCCCTGAAGATCAGACCCTGTGTTTCTATCAGGAGCCTCTTGTGCCCCCTCATCACTAGTCCCATAAACTGTCTTCTACCATCTTAAGTCTCAAGCCTCTATTTCCCCATTTCCATTTTCCTCTGTTTTCTTACATTTCATGGCCGTGCACCATGTACAACTGGGCTGGGTTTTTTTTGTTTGTTTTGGGGGGGGCTGGGGGGGGGTTCTTGTTTTGTTTTTACTTGCACTTATGGCTGTTTGAAAAAGATACATCAAGCTCATGCCTTGATTTTCTGAGACTGCACAACAACAAAAAACACGAGCTGAGCATGTGTCACATGCTTCACAAAGTCCATTTGTTTTCTCTTTTGAACACCAGAGGTTCCCAAACACGTCAGCACTATTTGCAGATCGGCCCATTCTTTGATTTGCTTGTGACCATGCAAAAGTCAGGGCAAGAGAAACTTCACTTTGATTAGGAATGGAAAACAAAGCATAAAGGACAAGTGAATGTCAGACTGGAATCTAAGGGCATTTATACATGTGCTCTGGGAGTGTGTGTGCGCGCGAGTGGGGTGGGGGGAGAAGGTGCTTTAATCAGAGTGGCTTCAAAAGCTGCTCTAATTAAAAGCACCCAGAGCATCTCATGTATAAACATCCCCACGCTGACAAATGGCAATGGGGATGCTTTAACTAAAGCCTGTCAAATGAGCTTTAGTTAAAATGCCCCTGCCAACATTTTGCAGTGCAAGGATGCTAATACATGAGATGCTGGAGTCTGCTGGAGCATGGCAATTACCATGCTCCAGCAGACTCGATTAATCAAGTCTGCTCCAATGTGCTGTAAGTACAGCGTGTTGGAGCAGCCTTGCTGCATGTGTGTAGGTGCCCTAACAGTCCAGTTATTATAGTGGCTTTGAGAAGCTCTGGGGGAGTCACTAGATCCAGGAGAAGCCATGGCTACATACCATTCTTGACAGACTATTTATATTCCTGTCTTTTGATTTACAAGAGCTGAAGATCTAATCCAAAGACTAAAACTTTTCTGGCTACCACATCCTCCCTTAACCAGGTCTACAAAAATCCAGCAAACCACTTCACTTAGTTCAGCTTGAATGTGGAGTCCAGTTCATACTTTAAAGGACAGGCAACGATGATTATTAAAAACAACCACAGACTGCATTGCCACAGCATCTCAAAGTGTGACTGCAAATAGATTAAGCCTCCACACCTCTGTGAGGTAGGTAGGTAGCAGTTTTCCCTTGGTCTTACAGGGAGAGAACCAGGAGCAGAACCAGGAATCTCTCCTAGAATTCATGCCTCAGTGCCTATAACAAACTACTACACAACATTCCTTCTCTTCCAGATACTAACTGTATCCAGCAGATGCAGATGTGGGGTAAGAGCCACCTGTTGAAGGCTTAGATGACACTGTTGCAGCAGCCATATTTGCTGGCAACTGAAGCATTTAGCCAGTGCCATCTTGTGCTATCTGCTTGGTTCTCATTAGGGCTACCTTGCATTTCACTGCACCATCAGGATGTGACACAGCCTTGGCAGTAAAGGTTGGTTAAGACGGACACATCACAACTGGGTCAACTAAACTTGGGTTTGAAAACCTAACCTAGAACTCCCAGTCCCAGAATAGATTCAGTTACAAAATATGCCAGGCTGGCTTAAATCACTTCAATCTAGGGCCAAGATACAGTTCTGGATTGGTTTTAAGAATGGTTTAGCTGAATGGCATTTAAACCACTTTTAAACAACTTCAAGCAGAGCTGGAGGGCAAAGGCAACATGGCATTACAGAAGATGAAATGAAGCAGCTAGGACAAAAGATCTCAGCTCCTAGAGACTGAATAAGGCAGTTTCTTCACTTTTGCCCTTGGTATGTTTTTCTTAGAAAGAGCTCCTAATTGACCAAACCAGTTGGGCTCCACAGTGATGTTTCAAGAGGACATGGGATGACCAGGGATCCCTGCAGTGCACAGAAATGCAGTCTCCATTAATTGACCAGTGACTAGTGCATCCAAGAGCAGCTGTTCAGAGAAATCATGAATATCCTAGATTGTGGACTCTGATGTCACAGGTTACCAAAAAGGAGTTGAAAGGGAGGAGAAAGCCATGTCAAAACACTATCACCACCAAGAAAGAAATTCCAGAGGAAATTCAATAGGATTGCTAGCACCCTACAGGAATAGCACAGATACTACAAATTTTTATCTTTCTCCATCCTATAGACCATTTCCTTGGTGACTACAACAGTGAGTGGGAAGGATAATATGACCTACCACAAGCTTCACCTGCAACTTCACCTGCAAGATACTCGTTTCAGCTCACTCTGGGAGCGAGGGTACATACATCCGTGCATGTATGCATGTGTGTGTGGGGGGGTGGAAAGGGGTCTGCGTTTAGGCAGTCCCAATTTTTTTTTTAGTTTGCTTTCTTCCCACCCAACCCTTAACTACTTGGAGGCCTCTTCAAGAGATGTGCTCAAGATTTCTAGCTCTAAAAACATTTTGGACACCCACTTCAAGAAGTCTAGAGCCAGATTTTTCAGAAGCACCGAGTACCACCAACTCCTATCAAGGTCAATTAGAAGAGTGGGGGCTCAGCTCTTCTGAAAAACCCTGACCCAAGACAACATCAGGTTGTGAGCCCATAGACAGAACAGCCGAAACTGGAAGCCAATTAAAAAAAAAAAAGATTTTCATAACATTCTTTGCATTAAAGTAGGGGGAAACCCCCCCAAACTCATAAGCCACAAGTGATTCCCCATGCTACCCAAACCAACCTGCAAGAGCCTTGTACCAAAGATATGTCCTACAAAAGGAAACACACATGCAAGGGGGAAGGAAGAGTACCCTACACAAACAATAGAAAAAAGGTTTCACACGTTTGGAATCTTTGAGGTGTTGGGCCAGAGAAACAATTTTGAGGTCACAGACACCAATTTCCCTTGCTACAGGGAGCAGTCTCAGGAGCATCCAGCTTCATCAGATCGATGTGCTTCCATATGAGCTCCTGAAGCAGCTTGTGTGGCAAACCCCAATACCAATTCCAAAACAGAAAAGCAAAAGCAATTGGGATCTTCAGGAAATACAGCAGAGGAGAACTCCCACCTGTCATGCAGAAGAACAGCATGTGCTGCATTCCAGAACACTGCCTGCTAGAGGGGCAGGAGGACTAGTCCCCAGATAACAGGAAAGTGGACAGATCCTTCCAAACTAAGTGTTAAAATCCTTGTTCAAGAAGCCTCTTGTCCCTTATACCAGTCTCAGGCACTGCTCTCCCCATGCATTTTTATCACCAAAGGACCCACAACCAAAAAAGGATTGCACACACGCCACTGATTTCAAAGCCAGTGAGAAAGGCGTATGTGCATAAATCCCAGGTCTTTGGATTCTGGCCAGCTCTGAAAACCCTGCCTATGAAGCGGGGGTTGCAAGCTCCTTGCCCCAGTCTCAGGCTAGAAGAGGGTGGCACTGTATCTTCTACTGCAGTGATGATGCAGGGCTTGCCTAGCCTTAGGATCTGATCCTGCTCAGGCAGAGCTTCTTACTGGACTGAGCAAAACGTCTGCCCGAGCAATAACGTGGACGTGGGTCTCCAGTGGGGTAGAATTTGGGATCTGGACTCAGCAAGGTGATCGTATGACCTGAGCCAGTTGTTGAGCACTGTGGCACCTACCCTGGTACTTACAGCAGTCACCGAAGGCAAGCACTGGCCCTTGTGGAGCTGTGCCACCTGGTGGGGAGGGGTGTGCAGAATTAGGCGCTTCCATTTGGTCTCTAGTGCCACACTCAGGGCTTTGCCCACATGGGGACATAAGCCACTGGCACAAACAGAAGTGAAGATATAGTTTACACTAATGAAGTTTATCCCAGTTTAGTTGCCAGGCCACAGCTGCCAACCCAGACCTCTACAGCTGGTCAAGACAGCATAGACACCTGCAGCATCCATGAAGGGGCACCAGGCACCCCTGCCAGGAATGCACAGGGTTTAAGACAGGAAGGTTTGTTAAATGCTAACCTAAGCATCAATGACTTGAAGCATTCAAGGCCACCAGGTAAAGACAGCTGCTGCAGCAATGCCAGGCACCAATCTTTCAAAAAAAATGCCAGGCCTCAGAGAGCTGCCCTTGCTCCTGTCACAATTCTAGGAGGGATAGTTTTCCCTGGACTGTTTCCAGAGGCCATCAAGTGGCTTTTCAGTGGCTAAATCAGCAATATTGCCGATCCAAATCTCCATGTTAAATGGAACAGGAGCCAAGCAGAGATCCATGGTGGAGCAATATACAGGCCTCTTCCCCCTAGCTTTGCTATGGAAGCCCTTCATTTTGTTCTGACACAATATGGTTTTTAACCCCAAATTGTAAGCCACACACATTTCTGGCCTTCTATTTGACCATTATCCCCTTTCCATATCTTGGAAAGACACTAAAAGGTCATCCACAAGAGGACTCCTCAGAAAGGAAGGCTGGTGTTCCTGCCTGTTTCCTCATAAGGTATAAAGGAGGACTGAAAGTTTTGCTGTTTTAAGAGAAGAAATAAAAAAATTTGACATGATAACTATAAATGCCTTCCACAAGAGAACGGAAGTTGAAAGGGAAGTTATCCATCTAGCAGTTTCCTATCATCCTATAGTTTCACAGCCCAAATCATACTTGAAATTTGCACATAAAGCCAAGAAGGGTTAAAATAATAAAAAAAAAAAAAAAACAAACACCTTCAAAAAACCCTAGAACTGTCAGGCCTCCTTTATACATTGCAGAATAATCAGAAATGGGTCACCTTAAAATTTTTTTTTTAATCCAGCTAGAGGAATCCAGAGTGACAAGTGTCACAGCACTGAACTGATCATAGAAATCTGTCATGAAGAGAAAATCTTCAATGCACAGATTCCTTTCCAGGTACAGGATAGAGTTATTAAAAACAAAAATCAATTCACAGCAGCAGAGTGACAGATAAACAAGGAACTTTGTATAACAACCTTTTCTAAGGTAAAGGGACACAGTCAGGAAGCTAACATGTTGAAACAGAAACAGATTTGTAAGTGGAAACTGTGCTTTTTAATTTAATTTAAATATGCCCCAATGGTGTCTGAAACAAACAACACTTGGAGAAGCAGAAAGTAAAGCAGATTATAAAGCAAGAAGTGCAATGGCCAAGGTGAATATAAATACTGGATCCAAGTGAAGTGCAACAAATAGAATAAATACCAACAACAGGGAAGAACACAGCAGATTTTTAGTTCTTCCATACAAAATAAGCCAAAGTGGAACATAGGTAAGAAAAATTTTGGTCTGCTAACACATGATTTTACCTGAACAGTGTCCCTTTAACAGAATTAGTTGTGCGTGTCTACTCACTACCCCCAAAAGTGAACAAAAGGTCAAGATTCTGGGATCTAGGTCTCAATTCTGCAACCAGATGCATACAGGCCTTGGGCTTGGTTAGAGTCAACTTGCCTCTCAGGATCTATTTTCTCTGACCCCTCCGGGAAAACATTGAAGTAATACTAGATCTGGCCCTTGAGGCAAGGTTTACAGCAATTGGGATTAGGCCCTCAGGGGGATTTAAAGTCGACTCTGGTCTCATTTTCTTTCCCACAACCCAATTTTGGTCTGGATAAGAGGAGACATGAATGCTGGGCCAGATCCCTGCCAGCATGTCACAAGAGTTCCGCTGACTTCAGAGCTAACAGACCTGAAAGGGGCTACAACAACCAAGGCCAGCCTTAGATATGGTCCACCATGATCTTCAACAAAAGAGGCCTAACCCAGAGACCAACTTCTAAGCAATCCTTTGTGGCCGTGGACATGCAAGTGTAGAACATGCATGTGAGAGGCAGGCTGAAAGACACAGACAGCCAGTATGCTGGGTATAGCAACAGCTTGACACATTGGACCCAGGCTGACTTAAGGAATGTAATTGATTTCTTCTTTCCTGCATAAATAAAAAGTTGATCCCAAGTCACAAAGTTCTCCCTTCTCCCACCTGTCCCTAAGCACTGATGTGCCTGAAGACAACAACATGATCCCATTGACATACTCTTCACAGAGCATACAGGTCACAAGTAACTGTAGCGTACATCTCACCCAAATGTGCTCCACGGCCCCTATTTAGGGAGAAAGTCCCTTTGATTAAAAAAAACAAAACAAAACAAAAAGACCCCAACATAATTAAATCCTTTCCCCTCTTTTGATCTCAAAGAAGTTCATCAAAGTCCAGTTCATTTTAAAGGGGTTTCAGAACAAGAAACTTTGATTCCAGCATTGATCCATCTCCATCAACAATAATGGGCCTCCCTTTACATGGCCTGAGGAGGCCTGGTCTCACCCAGAGGCTTCCCACACCAGGAAAGAGGCTGAGGGAACAAATAGAGTTCTTCCTGTGCTCCTCCTCAACTTGCTGGCTATTCCGGCATGGCATGGCAGTTCCTTTGCCCCTGTTCCTGGGAGAAGACCCCAATCAGCAGGCTGTGCTAACCAGTCTTTAAGAATGACAATAAAAATAATAATAGATATGCATATAACTTGGTACTGTCCTTAGAAGGAGTGGAGGGGAGGCCCTGTATTGAGAGGCAGAAGGAATTTGTGTGTGGAGAAAATGTTCACCCTTGGCGTTTTCTGCTCTAACCCTTTGTGCTGTTGCTCTGACACCATCAATATGACGACGAACACAGGGATGAATGCTCACTGGAGGAGGGCGCGCAATGATTAGTTCCGGCGCTTCGGGAACAGGTCCAGGAGGAATTCTGCGATCCCAATGAAGTAGACGACTTGTGCAATGCCGAAGAGCGGGGCAATGACCAGCGCTCTGCAGTACGCCCCCTTCAGGAAGGCCATGGGGCCCTCCTTCTGCCAGATTTTCCTACAGAGACACAGCAGAGACTCAGCATGAGTTGACATCCCTGGGGCCCCCTGTGCATGCCAGGCAGACAACTGGTGTGGCTCTCGGCATCCTTCTAGTGCTTAGCCTCACAGGAGATTTAGGAGCCTGTTACCTTCCGCTCCAACAATTAAGCTAGTCCTACAGCCTCAAGGGAGTAAGGACTCCTGCTTCTACATCACTCCCACTGCTCTGAGCTGGTAGGGCAATTTGCGTGAACACAATATTAGAGGCAGGTCTTGTCAGACCAACCTGGTGGCCTTCTATGACCAGGTCACGAAATCCTTGGACGCAGGTGTTGCAGTGGACATAGACTTTCTGGATGTTAGGAAGGCCTTCGACACTGTCTCTCACCCCACTCTCATTAAAAAGCTAGGGGACTGTGACATCGATGCCCACACAGTCAGATGGGTCACTAACTGGCTGGAGGGCCACACCCAGAGAGTGGTGGTGGATGGGTCATTTTTGACCTGGATGGAAGTGGGCAGTGGGGTCCCGCAGGGTTCAGTCCTCGGGCCCGCACTGTTCAACATCTTCATTAGCAACTTGGACGAGGGGGTAAAAAGCATCTTGTTCAAATTCGCAGATGACACTTAGGGGTGATGTGGGCATGCTAGAAGGGAGGAATAGGCTACAATCAGACCTAGACAGGTTACAGGGGTGGGCGGATGAGAACAGGATGGGTTTCAACACTGACAAGTGCAAGGTGATGCACCTGGGGAGGAAGAACCAGCACCATACCTACAGGCTGGGAAACTCCCTTCTCATCAGTGCAGAGGCAGAAAAG